GCTCAGAAAATTTTAATGCAGCCCAGCACTCAGGCTGTGGAACGGGTTTTGCTGGCTCCTTCCAGTAGGTTGAGAGTTAGGAGCAGAAAGCAGAACAGAAAGATTAGAAAAACTTACAGTTTGCGAGGAAAGCCCAAGTAAAATTTGAGCTAAAAAGGGATAGTTTTTGAAGACAGGTACTATTTGAAAAATAAATAAGGCTTTAATTTTTACATCAAGACAGTAAGATGCCTTGTGGGCACCTCAGCAATTAGCTAAACCTCACCCATCTCCAGTATCAAGAGTTAAAAACTGCTCTGAGAAGAAAACGCAAGGGCACTCTGCACTCACGGGGCCGTCTAGGGGAAGTGTTTTTCTGGATTCACCCACCCACCTTAGTGGCTTCACCCATGGTCAAAGGGGGGGCCTGTCTACTGCTCCAGCTGGTAGTAGACCTTGGTGTCATCCATGTGGTGCTTGTTTTATAGTCATGGAGAATTCAAGAGTTATAGGATCATGGAGTTTCCACTCAGATTTCAAAGGAAGGCAAAGAAGGCCAGCCTGTGACAGGATAGAGGTGAAGTCTAAGCTACAATGAGACCCCAGGATGTTGAAGATGTCAGGAATATGGCAAGTCACAGACAACGAGTGCAATCACCCCCAGGAGAGAGGTCATATGAGCTGCTAAAAGAACAAGACTGACCAAATCCCTTGGACCCTATATCACACTAGGTGCTCCAGTTGCTGGACATGTAGCTACATGATTTTAGTGTTTACCCTATTCCCCCTTCCTCGCTATCCCCCCACCCCAGTCCTACCTTTTAGAATGAGACTTGTGTTACTTGTTAATCTCAGAAGTATGAAACTTTCTTCTGATTTTATACAGGCTCACAGTTAAGAGATCCATGAGTCTCAGTAGAGACTAAACTTAAAACTTTTGAACAACTTTGGAACTGTTAAGGCTTTGGGACTCTTAGATATGGAATAAATGCATTTTGTACTACAAAATGGCACCTTTGGGGTGCCATTATGTGTAAGACACATAATGTTATGGTTTGAATTTGCTTCCCACAAGCTCATGTGTTGAATGCTTAGTCCCACCTGGTGGTACTATTTTAGGAGGTTCTAGATGCTTTAGGAGGTGACTCCTAGTTGGAGGAAGTAGTGAAGTACTGAGTGTGTGCCTCTGAAGGTAATACCTGGCCCCCAGTCTCTTTCTGGCTCTTTCTGTTTCCCAGCCATCATAATCTGAGCTGTTCTGCAACACCCTCACTACCACGATGGACTAAAACTTCTGAAACCATTAGCTAAAAATGATCTTTCCTCCTTTAGGTTGTTCTCTCAGGTATTTTGTTCACAATGACAAAAACGCTAATGAATACACTAGTGTACATCACCAAATTGCCCTTTTCAGTGAGAATATACATATCTGTACATTAAAGCTAATTACAAAGAACAACAAAAAAGATTCTAAATTTGTTATATTCCTTTCAAGTCTGCTTATGTATTTTATAATAAGGAAAAAAATTTTAACTTGTGTTAATATAAAACTATGAATAATCAACACAAAAAGTAACTTCATTGGTGACTGACAAAAAAACTATGGATTAAGTAATAGTCACAGAAACTGAGTGATTTCACAAGAAAGTCAGGGAAGTTCTGTGGTATAGCCACATTTTCTGTCTACAAATATAATGTACCAATTGTTTCACCTCAGTAAGATAATGAATTTAAACAACTGTTTTTATTACAATAACATTTTTAAATTACCAGCACCCTAACGGACACCTATAATGATCAGTAGCACACTAGTTGAAAAGTTCTGCTTAACTATCCAAATGAATTTATTTCCATCCTCTAAGAGTTAGCTCAGAAACCACCTATTTCATATTATATTTGGCCTTCCATATCCATGGGTTCCAAACTTGGGGATTCAACCAAATGCAGATCCAGAATGGTTTCTTAAAATAAACAGGTCTGTTCCAAACAGACTCCCATGTCGTTATTCCCTAAACAGTATTGGATAACAACTATGTATGGAGTATTTACGTTGTATTAGGTATTAAAAGTAATTTAGAGATGATTTAAAGTATACAGGAAAATTTATGTAGATTAATGCAAATACTATACCTTTTTCTCCTCTACAGTGCTAGGGGTCAAACCTAGAGCCTCAAGCATATGAAGCATGTGCTTTACCACTCACTTGAGCTACATCCCCAGGCCTACTACACCATTCTGTATACTGGACTTGAACATTTGTGGATGTTGCTATCAGTAGCAGGGGTGAACAATTGAACTTATCTCAAAACTGTCCCCGAAATCTCACCCTTCTTTTACTGATTTACCTGCCTTTTAACACTAATTATACTTGAAAGTGTCATTGCTTCCCCAACATCCCTTTACCCACACACATAAAATTGCCTAATTAAGATAATTCCAGTAGGAAGGTGAGGCACCAAATGGCCTCTCTTCATCAGGGTAATTAATCTCTTTCCTCCATTACCTAATACTGAATCAAGTTCCCTCCATACTGTCTTCTCAGGATTTTCAATACTTATGAACGTGAATGCTCATATATCCTTTCTCTGTGCTACCTGCCAGCTTGTTAAGATAAAGAAAACTGGTCTAAAGAAGAATCCAACACACACAAAGGGACCAAAACTGCTGTATTTTCATTCTAATTGACATAAAATTGTACATGCTATTGGATACCAAGTGACATTTCAATATATAAATATGTATTATTAAAATCAGGGAGAGCATATCTGCCTCAAATATGTTTCCAGCTGAAAAAATTCAAAATTGTAGCTTTTTCGAAATACAAAGTGAGCTATTATTACCTATAGTTATGCTACTACATCAGAACTTCTTTCTTCATGTAACTGTAACTAGTACCTACTGACAAGCCTTTTCCCATTTTTCTCTATCCATACATCATTTGATAGGTTGTTTCCATTCCTTGGATATCACATATAGTACTGCAGTCAACATAGGAGTGTAGTTATCTCTTCAACATATTGACTTCTGGATCATATGGCAGTTCTACTTTTAACTTTATGAGGAATTTCCACAATAGTTATACTAATTTACACCCCACCAGTAGTGTTTCCTTTGTCTGTCTCTCATAGCCTTCCTTTGTGGTTAAGTGATTCTCTCTGGTGATATATTTTGATTCCTTACTCTTTTTGTGTATCTATTGCAGGTTTTGCTTTGAGATTACCAAGAGGGTTATAAACAACATCTTTTGATATACCAAACTTTTTACCTGATAACAACTTAACAACTTAACTTGGTAAAGTTAGAGAAACAAACACATAGGGAAAAGATAATTTTAAAAAATACCTCTACATTTGTACCTAATTCCTCCCCACATTTTGAATTTTTGATGTCTTATTTTATGTCTTTTTATATTACCTATCTCTTAACACATTAATGTAGTTACTTGCAGTTGTTCTGTTTTGGCAGTTTTTCCTTTGTCACTGTGAATCTCTCTTCCCATTCCCTCTTGAACTGCAGGTTTCTACTGAGTAGTTAAACTGCACCTCTTTGACATTCTCAAGTTTCTGTTAAGCCCCCATAACCTGAATACTTGTTCTTTTAATGCTGTCCTACAGTTCCTGTAAGGTTTCTTCATTTCTCTTTACCCTTTTTCTCTACTTCAACTATATATTTTTAAATAGCCTCAGCGCTCACTGCTTTCTATTTGATTCTGCTACTAATGCCTTCTACTACATTTCTCACTTCATTATTGTACTTTTTAGCTCCAAGATACCCGTTAGATTTTTTAAAACATTTTTTCAATTTGCCTATTAACTTTTCTGATAGAGGCTACGGGTTTTAGCTCAGTGAGAGAGTACAAGGTCCTAGGTTCAATCTCTAGCACAGAAAAAAAAGAAAGAAAAAGAACCTCAGGTAAGACCCTAAATTGTTCCTCTGTATTTTCTTAGAATTCAGCTGAGTTTCCTTTAAAAATCTATTTTGAATTCTGTGTCACAGAGTCTGTACACATCACTTGCTATATGATCAATTTTTGGCTCCACAGTTCTTCACCAGGAAAGGTCGTGCCAAAGATGGCCTAAAATTCATTACGTAGCCCAGGCTTGTCTTGAACTCTTGATTCCCATGTCTCAGTCCCCCAACTGCTGGGATTACAGCTATGTGCTACCATGCCTAGGTCCCTGAAAGCTCTTGATGCTTCCTGACACACAATATCTGCATACTTCTGAAGGATTATCCCAGACTTTGTAATTTGTATTTATACCTCTCCTTCCAGAAATTTTAGGCAGGCTGTTTATTATATTCTCTGATCCTGTGGTCGTTGCTGATATTTCAGCACTAGATGGTACCCCATTCCTGTTTGTTGCAAATCCACACTTGGTATGTTTTTTCAGGATGACCTGGGAGTAGTACCAGAAAATAGTAGTCCACATTTGCTATATGCACGCCTTCCCAAGGACAGGCCCAAATACCTTATCCACAGTCATTGGCCTGTGATCAGACACCACAGGATTCTGCCCAGCAATGGGCCTTACTGTAAAGGGCCTAGCCCTCAGCTCTAAAAAATCACCACCTGTATTCTTCCCCCATGTAGTTACTCTCTACATGTCATACTGCCTGGGGTTTAGGGAAAGGATAGCTTGGGCACTCCTGCTATGAGCTATCCATGGGTCTGTAACTCACCAGATCAGCATGGCAAAAAGGCAGAACCAAATTCCACACTATTATAGTCTTCCTGCTGCTGTGGTATAATTATAGTGAAACATGCTAAATCCAGATCAAGATCAAATCTACTAAAAGAAATGTCATTCCAAAGACTTCTACATCATACAGTAGAGTGGAATTTTATACACAGGTCAGTCTAAAACAAGTAAGAAAAACAAAAACTACCCTAAAAAATGTAAATCTGACAATGTTGCATGATTTTTTGCTTTTAAATCGGTTATGCCTCAAAACTATCTGAATGCACCCCCATTTTATTATTAAAATGATTCCAGAGGAACAGTAGAAAACCAACTTCTTACCTGCCAAAGAGACTATCGTGAACAACATACACAGAACATACACTGAGATCTATTAATCCTTTTGGTTTTGTAGCTCGTTTTTCACTTTCAAAATAAATAAGTTGGGCATCACTGCCCTCTAAGATAAAATATAAATTTTTCCAGCGTTTTCCTTTACCTGTGTAAAAAAGTAATTGTTTTCCTTTAGCAAATAATAAACTTGAAAATCATACTCCCACTAAATACCACCCTCCTCCCAACTGTTTAACATGCCTTAATGTCAGATCTATAAAATAAAAACATCAATACCATGGATTTGCAAAGTGCAACAAGCAGTTTCTCTAAAAACACATAGGAAGATGGGACAAAGAATCAAACACCTTCATTGGAACTACCTCAGGTAAATATATTAATTACCTTGTTTTCTAAAACTCTGGTTAGAAATGTGAACTTAATAATATAAACTCTAAACAAATGTCAATTACTAATGATTCACATCAAAACAACTTACTAAGTACATATACAGTAAGTTTATGTCTCATATTACAATACCTGTAATTACATGGGTAACATAAAATATTAAACTGAATCCTTATTTCTAAAAGTTCACTTACCCTTCTTTAGAAGATAACCTTTCTTAACAATGTTTTTATAAAAAGCATCCTTTGTTTTACGACGAATCGTGTTATAGATTTCCTTGCCATCTACTGTATCATTGAGTACTTGTTCTTGATCCTGAATTTTAAAATATATTAAAATTATCTCATGAATGAGAATTCATCTTATTCTTGATAAAATGATGAATAAAATGAAGGGAAATGATGAATCTTGACAAAAATTAAGTAAAATACACATCACAAATTAAAAGCTAGATAAATGTTCTTAATGTTAAAATTTAGACATACGTAAGAGATAAATTTCAACATAGATAAGAAGTCCATAGACAAGAGATAAATTAAGATAACACAAGCTATGATTCCTAATGTATAGATCACTGATTAAGTGTTAAACTTCTAACTCCACCTTTCCCCACAAGTCTTATGATATTTTATTGTTGGTTTTGCTTAATATTGTAATTTTTAGAAATGACATATAACACATTATATAGTACAACTGACATTAACTGCTAAACCTCCCAAATAAAAGAATTATTTCACAAAAAATCTAAAAACAAGAATACCTTCAATCTTCACCTTTCCAAAGTAAACTAATCTTTAATTTTAGTATCAGGTTCTACTGAACTCAATTTTAGTTTTCCAGTTCTTACAATTCTGAGCAGTTCTTACATTTCCAAGGATTAATATTTTACGATGTTTAGTTGTCCTTAAAGAATTATGGATCAATTCAATCTTCTTAAAAATCATTATTGGACATTTCTCCTATATTTTGAGACATTCTGATGTTTTGTCATCCTAAAAACTATTTCATTATTAGTTAACAACTATTCACAATGATGCTAAAGAAAATACTAAAATAGTAAAAAAAATAAAAGTATGAATTTACCTAGAGCAGAGGTGCAAACTGTGGTATGCATTCTAAATCCAGCTCATCACCTGTTTTTGTACATAAAGTTTTACTGGACCACAGCCATATTCATTACTTTACATATTGTCTGTAGTTGTTTTCAACTACAAAGGCAAAGTTTAGCAGCTGAGACACATTGAACAGCCACAAACCCTAAAATATTTACCATCTTTTTACAGAAAAGCTCTGCCAACTCCTGGCTTAGAGAACGATGCAATAGTGAAATAAATCATCTCTCTTGCTTCACCCTTTTGGTTTTTTTAATGTGTTGCCAAGTATTGCAGCATTTTTTCAAAAAAAGGATAAAAGGCCATCTTTGTTGTCTTTTTATTAGCATTCGTTGAACACAGTTAAAAATTAAGAACTCTCAATTTTATGCACATGATATAGAGAAAAAAATGACAGAAGAAGATGTTTTATATTTATCAGAAGAAATCTGAAGATGAATTCAAAGAAATAGCTGCACTCAACTCTATTGTGATAGGAAATTTGATTTTGATAACCAAAATCTCAGACTATGATTATTCAGATGGCAACATGCTCAATAAATTTTCTCAAATTAACTGAACCACAGTATTTTTTAAGGAAGAAAAAAAGGAAATATGAGTAGGGTGTAGTGACACATGCCTCAGTGACACTCAAGAGGCAGAGCCAAAGGACTAAGAACTGAAGGCCACCCTAGATTAGAAAACATAGTGAGCCCCCATCTCCAAAAAAAAAAAAAGGGGAGAGGGGGGAATATGATGTCCTCATCTACTCTTTAAATAGAAAGGACATCCTCATGGAATACTTTTGTGAGAAGAACAATGTCATATCCTGTTTTGTCAAACAGAAATGAGACTATTCTTTAAATTTTTGTGTACCAAATTTACTCCTGTAACTTGTAAATACACAATGCTAAAGGCACCCATTGCATAAAAAAGCTATTGAGAGAAAACACAGAATATAGAAATTTTTAAAACTCACTGGAGTTAGTATTTTAAGTGATAGAATTATTTTAACTTTTTTTTTCTTTTTGGGGTGGTACTAGAGAATAAACTCATGCTTGCTAGGCAAGTGCTCTACCATGTGAGCCACACCTCTGCCCTTTTTTGCCTTAGTATTTTTTTGATAGGGTCTCAGACCTTTTTGACTGGGGCCAGCCTCAAAACACAATCCTCTTACCTAAGCTTCTCGGAGCTGGGATTACAGATATGTACCACCATGCCCAATTTGTTGCCCACCTCGTTTTCATTAACTTTTTGCCTAGCCTGGCCTGAAACTGTACCCTCTCCATCTCTACCTCCCAAAAAGACAGGGATTACAGAGTGCACCACCATGCCCAGTCCACATTTATGGAAAAAGGAAGACCATAGTCTCCAACAAAATTATTAATCTTCAGAATTGTTGCAATCTGATGATATAAATACAAGAAAGAATTATAAGTTAGAACCCAGTAGTGATATATTTAAAATCTATGAATATTGCATTTTGTAATAAGAACCAGAGTAATTACAAGCAGCACTTAATAGAGGTGTATTTGAAATTTGGAATCAGTATATACAAGATGGGTTTTGTTCCACATACTCAAAAAAGCTGAAGAGGAGTTAACTGCACTCAAAATACTTTCCCAGGGATATATGCCTATATAACCAGGAAAATATGGAGCAAAAAAAAATTGCTACATTTAAAGTCTTATTACATTTTCTTAAAAAGTTTTTTTTTGGATTATCCCTTTATTGTTGCTTCTACAAGTTATATGCAAAATTAGTTAACAATATAAAAAAATTTAAAAGGTTGCAGTGGAACCAGATGGCAAACAGTGATGACTACTTTCCTGGTGATACAAATTTGATCTTAGCTCATTTTATTTCAATTGTTACAATACTTAGTATTAGCTGCAGAATGGGCATATTTGTATGCCTTTGTCATTTAGTGGCTATGAAAACTCATATACTAAATCAATTCAATAAATGCTTGCTTTCAGGTACTGTTCTAGATGTTGACATACATCAGCAAACAAATCAAAGATCCCTATTCTTGTACTAATCTGGGAAAGACAATAAACATTAAGTAAATTATATTGTGTATTAGAAAATGGTTAAGTACCTTGCAAGGTTAAGCAAACTGCAGTGTTAATTCAGTGTCTAAGAAAGTCTCATTGTGAAGCTAACTTTTTAGCAAAAACTTGCATGACAAAAGAGTGAGGCAAGTAGATTTCTGAGGGAAGATAATGGGCAGAACCAAAAGCTAGCACAATGATCTGAAGAAAGGAAGGAGTCTTGGGGAAAAAACAAAAAAAATAAGCACCAAAACAAGTGTCAAAGCAAAAGTGACAAAGGAGGATGTTGGAAAGAGATGAGTCAGAGAATTAGTAAGGTACCATTCTAGGGTTTTATATGCCATTTGTAATAACTGTGGCTTTAAGTCTGAATAAAATACAGAACATCTACAAGATTAAACAGAGAAACAAACAGGATCCAACTCACATTTTAAATGGATCTCTCTGAATGTGTAGATTAAGGGGAGAAAGACAGACACAATGAGATGAAGTCAGGTTTTGGTGGTGGTCATACTCTAGATATATTTTGATAGCAGAGTTAAGAACATTCCTGACAGGTTGAATATAGGGTATAAGAAATAAAGACAAGATAACTTGTTGCCTTAAAAAATTTGTTTAACCTCTTTGGTCTAAGTTTCTTTATTTGTCATTATAGGCATATGTCAACCTCATCAAAGTGTTGAAAAAAATCAGATGAATATGTATAAAGATAGTACCTAAAATACAGTGCCCAAAAATGCTAGTTATGGAGTGTGCTGTATTAAAAGGCTTCTTTTCTTCTAGTGCCCATCTCAAGAAGTTAGTCCTAGGTCTCTACGTTTTCTGTTCCAGCATCTTTCTGTTCCAGTCTGAGTCTGAGTACAAAGGGTCACATTAGGTTGGATGAGTTGATTTTTGCCATTTAATCAGTTTGTTCAATAGTAAAAGAATAGTAATATCCTTTTACTATGTGCTCTTTAATAGAATCCTGCTGAAAGAATAGATGAGTGTTTTGGTTCTCCAAACTGCTACTACAAATAGCATTTAGCTGTTCTGTGTAGTAATCAGATTGCTTTATAGTAACCATTAGTTATTTCTGAGGCATTTATTGCTTTACAGACATTTTTGCAAAGGACAGCAATTTGAGGTTTGTTCAGTTATGAAACAATAATACAAAAGTGAGGCATATTAAATATTTAAAGTAATTTATGTGCTAAAAGTATACTAGATGTTGTAAATATAAAATATTAAATTAGAAAATTATAAGCACAATTCAGAATTTATGTAATTTGTAGACAAAATTTATGGACTTATGAAGCAAATTAAAATAATCACTAACTCAACCAGTCAACATGAATTACAACTAACCATATAGCAATGAACTGTATGGCAGGATCTGTCATCTACAGGTAAAGCACTCTGACACCTAATAAAAGGCGTCATTAGTGGTTTCTATAATGCACACACCACACGAGGTTGTTTTTTTACAAAGTCTTTTTTACATATGCAGTGCTTAGAACAGTAAGCAGCCATGATCTATCAGAACTGCCAACAAAAGAGGTACATCTGTGTTGACTATAGTTATTAGGAAGTTGTCAAGAAGGAATTGAAACTTAAGATTGATTTTGAACTAGCCATGTTTGACAGACAAACAATGGCATGTAGATAGGAAGGAACACACAGAGATTTAAGACATTTAGTTATAATAAAGGCAGGATGAAGTGGGTGTTTCCTGCTGAAGGGCAAGAGTCATCCAATATTTATTGAATGTCTAATGTAGGTAAGGTTCTAACTGAGGCATGGGGAAAAATAACTAAGAAAAAGGAAAAATGAATGAAGATATATCATTGTGGGACAAGATTGTGATGGTTCTTTACTTTATATTTAGCTTCAGAATAATGATTTCTCACTCACAGTAACTGCAATGAGTTGTAGATATAGCCAACTAAAATTAACTGACTTGTTAGGAGGAAAAATATGAAAAACTTGAGACATTACAAATCACTGGAAAATTTCAGCTGGGTTCCCAAACCTCTTTCACAATCCTTCCTGGTGCCTCTGGGATATTACAATCTCCATTTTCTATATAGGAACAGTCTCCATTTTCTATATAGAAACATCCTTAATCCCTCTTTTGAAGCACCTTTTCTAATCTCTGCTATATCCTTTCCCTACTACATTTCAGAAAGTATGAATTAGAAACAATGTCTAACCACCCTATGCATTAAGCAACAAATATTTAACAGGCTGACTTGTTCAAGACCCATCTTTGCTCTTATGTTCTGAATTTAATTTACTCGTTTTCTCTAGGACTTTGTACATCAGATACTCCCACTCCCACACCCTACATCATTGTAATCTTTCCAGACATATTCACCAGAAAACTATAGGCAAAAAAACAAAGAAAGAAAAACCTAAACCCCTCTTGGCCCTAGTACTCTTCTATTAATGTTTTTATTTCTTTACTTACCAAGTTTATCTAGCTAAGCCTTACTATAATTTATCCATGCTATCTTCACTTTCGCCTCCAAAAAACCCACTCCTTTACCTAATGTTAATTGGCTTCTGCTTCTTTCACTGATTCTCTTATCAAGAAGCCACCAAGGACTTCCTAACTGTCCAGAATGAACATGGGTAGTAATACCTAAGGATTCTCTTACAATTTATTTTCTAAAAAATCTGAATAATCTATATTTTAAATTTTTGTCCTACTTTAATTACATGAATGTTGCATACACATATCACCAAAATGCATTTGAAAATAAAATGCTAATTACTATAAAGTAAAAAACAACACTGACCTGCATTGGTACAGGTTCTTTAAGATAATAACCTTCAACAATCTGTTCTTTTCGGTAGTGATCTATGATGTCCCCAATGCTGTTAAAATAAAAATGACATTGACATAATGTATCTCACAAAAAATATAAATCTTTTAAAATATTAATTAAACCCTGTTACCAAAGGATTATCTATTCACAGGTTTTTTTTTTCAAACTATATAGCCAGAATATATTCATAAAATAAATGATCATACATCACACTATTTTAGAAAAACAAGAATGTATCCAACACAGGATTACAGACAGGAGTTACCTGTCAGGGAGGAAATGACTAAAAGCCCATGACTTTATTTTATTTTTTATAACACTACTTCAGAGATAATAAGAATGAAGAACTGACAAAGAGATGGCATTTATTTAGGAAGTACATGTATGGTAAACTAATAAGACTTTTTAATCAAAACATTTATACATTTTCCTTTTACTACAGATGCAGGTATGTCATAAAACACATAAATAGCAAGTAAAAGTAGAAGCCAAAAAAGAAAAAAAAACCTGAAGGAAGGGAGGAAAGGAAAGAAAGAAAAGGGAGGGAGGGAGGGAGGGAAAGAAAAGAGAGGAAGGGAAGGGAGAGAAGGGGATGGAAGGAGGAAGGAAGGAAGAGGAGGGAGAGAAGGAAGGAAATGCAGGGAGGAAAAAGGAGAGAGGAAAGAAGGGGAGAGAGGGAGGGAGAGGGAGGGAAAGGGAGAGAGGAAGAAAGGGGAGGGGGGGAGAGAAAGAGAGGCAGGGAGGGAGGGAAACAGGGTCCTAGGAAGGGCCAGGAACTACTTTTACCTGTGTGAATATCAAAGGAAAGGCTTACTGATGACTTTGATAAAAACTGTTACCAACTTTTCTACATACCTGGGAAACATTACTAATAAAACTGAAAATTTTAAAATGACATTAATGTATTTTAATGCAAATTTTAGCATGCCATAATGAGGTTTTTTTTAACTATATAGAAGTGTGTTTCTCTATAAACAGCTGGCCATTTTTATTCTCTTAATATTTTAAATCTTGGAATTTTTAAACTTTTAAAATACTGGTGATGAGTATTTTTGAGACCTAGGAACATTTCTTCATACATATCTTGTTTTTTTCCACAGTTCTTCCTATTGAAACAATAATTGGAGTACACATGTATGTGTGTAGCCCAAATATCTTTCCTACTATCATAAAAGTAACTTAAATAAGGTGAATAAGAAAAACAGACAAGATAACTAATAAAAATGGATATGAATAAACATAAGCTGAGTACCACAAACAATATTGAACACAAAGCAGAGGAATGGGATAAGAAAATGAGAGAAGTAAAAAGATTGTAAAAATGACATGGAAAGTTATCAGTTTTTAAAAGAAAAATGTAGTGCACTACATAAATCCAAAACTGTTGAAAGAAAAATGAAAATCAGAAAATATAATTGAAAATAATGAGGGAAGACAGAAGGAAGGGTAGACATGATCAACACATTATAGAAATGTCACAGAAACTCTTTAATTTGTACAATTAGGGTATGTTAAAAATAAAATTAAAATGCAAAATTAAAACTTTTCTGGCTAACTATAAAATGCAATCAATTTTATGTAGTACCTCAATGTTACAATATAATCAAGCTAAAAGAAAACAGCACAAGGAAACTATCATGAACTACAACTACAACTCAGAAGGTCCTGGAGCAATTTTAAAAGTATATGGCAACTGATAAGCTGAACTTACAAGTTTAAAAAAAAAAACTACTCCACTTCAAACCCAAATACACCTAAAGAAACGTCAAGAGAAACAACCAACCAAAATTTCTTACAACACTCCATAAAATTTCTAGCCATGAAATCAGACAAGACTTACATCTAAGAAAACTCAAACATGTTAAAACACAGATTTACTTGTGAAACTAGTCTAAATTTCTAGACACTATGTCCTGTAATTTTAGTTAAGTACATAATACATAAAACTGTGCACCCCTCTTCTTGAACCTAAGTAAGTGTTAGTATCTTTCAAGATGTGACCAAAATCATCTTCCTTCCTTCTCACCATTTCCAGAACTATGCTCTTCTTGCTGATTATAATGCATATTTGATATGTATATCCCAATTTACCAATCTGCATGCCATCTTTTCTAACAGAGCTGAGCACTAACAATGCAGTATTTTTTACTAAGTAGATCAGTCAATAAATACTTTGAAAAATTAAATTTGCTGCTAAATTTTTGCCTCTCCTTTTGGAAGTTCTGAATATAGGAATGTCAAAAGTTATATCTCAAAAATCTCTAATTGAAATAGACATAAATGCTCTCTTAACCAAAAGTCAAGTATATGTAATAGGGTAATAGTGTATGGCAGCATTAGATTTGATGACTAATCTTACTTTACATATTTATACCTAAGCAATAAATGATAATCACAAAATTGTATATTCCTGGGATTTTATTTCAGACATTATTGCTGAAATGGAGAACATATTTTCAAGATAAATATAAAAATTTCCACTTTCTATGTATTGGGAGTCACATAATTTTGGCCTTCCTTTAAAAAAAAATATTAAAACTAGAAACAAAACTTCTGAACTTTTTAAGATGACCATATCCATATATTTTTTAAATGTTTTCATTTGCAAGCCAACAAATTTTGCAGTAATTTCACAAGAAATGTATTTCAAATACATCTTTCCTCCTGTTTCATTATAGTCTTTATCAACGAAGATTATCTTTATATATTTTAGACATACCCTGTGTTTAGTAAGATTTTTCCATCTTTACAGAACATAGGTATCCCAACAAAGTTTCCTAAGTCAATGAAACAAACTTTCAAAGAAGTAAATATATGTAAACTATTTTATGTTTACAAAATGCTCGCATGAGACTAATTTAGTTAACAAGATATTTTCAATTCAATTTTGTATGTTCCAAAACTCCAGAAAACTGGACGACAAAAATTAATTTATAAGAACTCAAATTACAGCTAGCTAGAATTTTAGTGAGGATGTCTAAAATCCAGTCTGTAATGTAAAAAATACTCAGGCAGCTTAATATGAAGTGTTCAAAAGGGCCCAACTCCCTAAACTTTACATCTTTCATTTGACATTTTACAACTGTCTAATGAACTTCTGGCAAGAAACTAGAAGAAATTGTCTTTGGATTTTTTGTTTTGTTTTTTCAGATAAACCAATGGCTGAATCTTTATGTACTTAAAAGTCGAGCTGGCCTTAAGGGAAATTCTAATTGTGATAGAGAATGCTACAGAGGTAGTGAGGCACTAAGCAGGCAAATTGTCAGTATTTTAAAACAAGATTATGCCAGTCTCCAAAAAAGGGAAACAGTTCTATTCCAGCATTATCAAGTTTTAGGCAAGCCCTTTTTAACCAGAAATGAACAGATTACTTTCTCTTTTCCAGAAAATATACTAACATTTTATTCAAAATTTCCTCTATTATTTTACCTTCTTAAAGTAAATTCATTCTGAGTTTGGGAAAAGTAAAGTTTACTGTGAAGGTGAGAAACGGGAACTGATAATGACATAAGAAACATCAGCTTAAGAACAAAACAATTACATGACAACATCTGTATAAATCTCAGGTAACTCTTAGGGACCCTTTCGTTTCCTATTAAAATGACTCATTGGTAAAAGAATGAATATATGCTCTTTTTCTTAGATTAGATGTTTTGTTCCTCATTCATGTAATAGATTTAACAAATTACTTACAGACAGCTTGTACATAGCTTTTTTAAAGTCACAAAATATTTCAGTAACAAGTTAATAATTGATATGTATGTTTGACAATGTCTTTTCTTCTTGAACATGATTACTACTAAATTGTATTACAAACTGAGGAACTTTAAAAAATTTTTGCATCTGTATTCACGATTTCAACTATCTTTGCCAAAAGTAAAATATAAAAAAATTTTTGTGATTTACCTGTTGTAATACCGGCCTCCCATCATAAACTGATTGTTTGGTGTTGGACATATTTTAAATCGCTGAATATTTTCATTAGTTCGGAAATAAAGTGAATAATCACCAGGAGTATTATCCGAGGGCCTCACAAGAAAACTGCAGACTTGGCCAACTGTAAAAATTAAGCTGTTAGTTTTTAAAGATAATATTTTTAATATTTTCTGCTTTATGATTCCCAATTACCCATGATGCTTCTCTACTATAGCTTGGATATATCTTACCAGCATTATTTCATAAAAATACAGAACATAAATTTTGTAGCAACAACTTTTGCTCAACAGTGGCTATACCTGTCATAACTTGGAAAAAAGAACAGTGGCTAAAACTGCTACATTGCTTATAAATCCCCTTTATGAGAAGACTGTAAAAAGTTAAAGCCAATTTTGCCTAGAATAATCTATACTTAATCAGTGTTTCCAATTAGTGATTAAAAAGTAATACCAGAATCGTACCAAAAACTTTTAAATAAAAAAAAAGTAGATCCAAACAACTGAAGTTTTTGAGTACATTATTAAAATCAATATACGTGCCCTGATTTCATTCAATAGGTATGATCCTAAAAAAGCATGTAGAATCCTATACCTTAAAGACCCAAAAAACTCTACTCAGAAGCTTCTAGACATCATCAGTAGCTACAGCAAGGTAGCAGGATATAAAATCAACATAGAAAAATCATTAGCATTTCTATACACTAACAATGAGCAAACTGAAAAAGAATGTATGAAAACAATTCCATTTACAATAGCCTCAAAAAAAATCAAATACCTAGGTGTAAACCTAACAAAAGATGTGAATGACCTCTACAAGGAAAACTATACACTTCTGAAGAAAGAGATTGAGGAAGACTATAGAAAGTGGAGAGATCTCCCATGCTCATGGATTGGTAGAATCAACATAGTAAAAATGCGTATACTCCCAAAAGTAATGTACATGTTGAATGCAATTCCAATGAAAATTCCAATGACATTCTTTAAAGAGATTGAAAAATCTACTGTTAAATTTATATGGAAACACAAGAGGCCACGAATATCCAAGGCAATACTCAGTCAAAAGAACAATGCTGGAGGTATCACAATACCTGACTTCAAACTATATTACAAAGCAGTAACGATAAAAACAGCATGGTACTGGCACAAAAACAGACATGAAGACCAGTGGAACAGAATAGAGGACCCAGATATGAAGCCACACAACTATAACCAACTTGTCTTTGACAAAGGAGCTAAAAATATATGATGGAGAAATAGCAGCCTCTTCAACAAAAACTGCTGGGAAAACTGGTTAGCAGTCTGCAAAAAACTGAAACTAGATCCATGTATATCACCCTATACCAAGATTAACTCAAAATGGATCAAGGATCTTAATATCAGACCCCAAACTCTAAAGTTGATACAGGAAAGAGTAGGAAATACTCTGGAGTTAGTAGGTATAGTTAAGAACTTTCTCAACGAAACCCAGCAGCACAGCAACTAAGAGATAGCATACACAAATGGGACCTCATAAAGCTAAAAATAAATGGTCATCAAAAGAAATGGTCTCTAAACTGAAGAGAACACCCACAGAGTGGGAGAAAATATTTGCCAGCTACACATCAGACAAAGGACTGATAACCAGAATACATAGGGAACTTAAAAAACTAAATTCTCCCAAAACTAATGAACCAATAAAGAAATGGGCAAGTGAACTAAACAGAACTTTCTCAAAAGAAGAAATTCAAATGGCCAAAAAACACATGAAAAAATGCTCACCATCTCTAGCAATAAAGGAAATGCAAATTAAAACCACACTAAGATTCCACCTCACCCCTGTTAGAATAGCCATCATGAGCAACACCACCACCAACAGGTGTTGGCGAGGATGCGGGGAAAAAGGAACCCTCTTACACTGTTGGTGGGAATGTAAACTAGTACAACACTCTGGAAAAAAATTTGGAGGCTACTTAAAAAGCTAAACATTGATCTACCATTTGATCCAGCAATACCACTCTTGGGGATATACCCAAAAGACTGTGACACAGGTTACTCCAGAGGCACCTGCACACCCATGTTTATTGCGGCACTATTCACAATAGCCAAGTTATGGAAACAGCCAAGATGCCCCACCACTGACGAATGGATTAAGAAAATGTGGTATCTATACACAATGGAATTTTATGCAGCCACGAAGAAGAACAAAATGTTATCATTCGCTGGTAAATGGATGGAATTGGAGAACATCATTCTGAGTGAGGTTAGCCTGGCCCAAAAGACCAAAAATCATATGTTCTCCCTCATATGTGGACATTAGATCAAGGACAAACACAACAAGGGGACTGGACTTTGAGCACATGATAAAAGTGAGAGCACACAAGGGAGGGGTGAGGATAGGTAAGACACCTAAAAAATTAGCTAGCATTTGTTGCCCTTAATGCAGAGAAACTAAAGCAGATACCTTAAAAGCAACTGAGGCCAATAGGAAAAGGGGACCAGGAACTAGAGAAAAGGTTAAATCAAAAAGAATTAACCTAGAAGGTAACACACGCACAGGAAATTAATGTGAGTCAACTCCCTGTATAGCTATCCTTATGTCAACCAGCAAAAACACTTGTTCCTTCCTATTATTGCTTATACTCTGTCTTCAAGAAAATTAGAGATAAGGGCAAAATAGTTTCTGCTGGGTATTGAGGGGGTGGGGGGAGAGGGAGGGGGCGGAGTGGGTAGTAAGGGAGGGGGTGGGGGCAGGGGGGGAGAAATGACCCAAGCCTTGTATGCACATATGAATAATAAAACAATAAAAAAAAATCCACCACACACACAAAAAAGGGGCTGGAGGAGTGGCTCAAGGGTAAGCCCTGAATTCAAGCCCCAGTACCACCAAAAAAAAAAAAGCATGTAGAAAAAATTGTTTTTTCATATTAATATCAAATAAGACTAGCTGGTATCTTTAGTTGGCAATGGCTCTTAGTACTGACATGCTTTGCCTTTCTCTGTTTAAGTACAAATGACATAGAAAACATCAGAATTTAACAGTTTTAAGGTAAGAACAATGAACAATCAAAATATCAGATGTAGTTTTGTCTAAATTTTGTGTAAAAACAGTTATAACAATCTACTAGCTAAGGCACTTCCTAACAGTAACTTCATTTTTCATACAACAAAGTAAAAAATAAACCTCTTTAAATTGAATCTTCAAAGCTTAATATAAGAACAGGCTGAAATGAAAGTGTTTCTAAATTAACAAATCTTAGTAATAAGAATCCATGATAATCTCTTATGTTTCAAGAACAAAGTAAAGTAAGAATTATATGCAAAACTGTACATCCAAGTGCTGTATGTAACTTTTCAGGAAGAAAATCCCATCAAATGAACAAAAGAACACATGACCCAAAGAAAATACAAATGAATGTAAGAAATTAAGTTTTGCTCCTTTTCATGTTTACATACCTAAAACAAGAATGGGTGTTTCAAGTATTTGGTAGTGCAAGTTCCAAATATAAATTCGTATCAGAAGTTTACTAAAATATTTTTGGTCCCACCTCAAAAAGTGATGGCTTGTCATTCTGGTTTAGCATTTGATCTCTGTTACTACTAATTAGTATTATCATGCTCTTAATTTGTTTTGAACCACTTAATGTAAGTTAATACATTAAGCACTTCAAAAACTTGCCTCAAATCTTTCAAAGGAGCAAAGTATTCATTTAAAATGCATTGTTTTAAGGCTTAAAACAATTTTACCCAGATCAAATATTTAGTAATCAGAATTATTCAATAAAATAAGCTATTTTAACAAAAACAGAAACCACCAAGAACAAATTTTAAAGAACTTTTAAAGAAAACTTTTAAAGTTACATATTATAGATTAAATTTGTCTCAGATTTTTACATAATATGGATTTCTGAATAAATACTTGATTGGGTATTAAATTAATTCAGACATGAATATTTAGTAAGAATAAATAATGACAAGATGGTTTTTATTTTAAACACTAAACTCAAAATACAAGTAAATTTTTCATTTGATTTCCCTATAACCACAGGTGTTTTGGAAAATGTTAAAAATTAATACATTTTAAATAAGGCTCAATTACATATTTCCACCGGTGTGCACAGATAAATAAAGAATGCTTATTTGCTATAGATGAATGACAAAAACACAATATTTCTCTATTGAAGACTGGTAAATTATGGTATTTATAGAATAGAAAACCACTTAAAAGAGTAATGAAAATTTATATCTGTAGATATCCTGACATTTAAAAAAAGTTTCATGTTCTTTTCTGTGTATGTATATGTGGGAAGATATAGAGACACACAAGAACTTCTAGAAACATACGGAAAAAAACTGTCATCAAGCGTTCCACTGGGGAAGGAAACAGGGAGAGAAGATAGAGTAGAAGAAAAACACTTAACAGAATTTTACACCATAAGTATGTTTGAAAATGAAAACAAAAAAATACCAGCTTCTCATCCCTGGGCACGAAGTTATAACATGCATAAATATTAATTGAATGCTAAAGATTAACACAGTACATAATAAATGGATGGTACAGTTTTTTTTATTCTTTTTAAATAAAGACATTAAAAAAAGGAAAATGAATATATAAGTACCTGTCATTAATAAATTATAAGCTTCTTGTTTGGAAATCTTCCCATGGAACCATCTTAAAAAATAGAACAAATTACAGATATAAATCAAAAGTACTTTTTGCTGCTATCATATGAGCAAAATTAAGCAAACAGTAACTGAAACTTACATATAAAATAAATGCAACTAATCCTATTAGTTCATTATTACATTTGTTACATTTTATAAATTTACTATGCTCAAGTTCAACAAAATACAAAAAAACTAGGCTATCAACTATAAACTATAATTTCCATATTCATTACCAATATAAAAGTATCAATAATTTTAATCTTTATAACATCTGCTATTTACTGGTTTCATAGCTCCTTTTTCTTTTGTGGGTTTGGATAGGAAGGGAGTAGTAGCAAAAGAGCCCATTCTAGAAATGTCCTCTAGAAAAATTTTTTTTATATTTCTTTCAAAATGCATTTTCTTACAATATGTGATATGCTGTCTCTTCTGGTAAAATCAAGATTTTGATGTATACTTTATTGAAAGTCAGAAAATAAGATTGGGTCATGGGAATCAGTGGAAACCAGTATTAAGAACTAAAAGGAAAGAAGGACTTAGTGTTCCTAATTTTATTCGAGCTAAGAGCCTATGAAAACAAATCAGTAAGGTATTTAACCTTTACCTACACATAAAATGGCATCTATTTTTAAATCACTGCTCATCAAAGTACTTAAAATCTCCTCTTATTTACATGAAAGCCTACTGTCTAACTTACTATAATTAACACATATCAGTGCTAAAAAGATAATCCCAGATCACTACTGTACCCAGTTGGCTATATTTTCTTAGGGTCTACAATTATTCACAATAATAAATTATAGTGCAAGTTGGAGAACGAATGTATTATAAGACTGAAACATGTAAGTGCTCTAAAATCTAATAGTACAAGCTTAGAGTCCATGCTATTACTAGTGAAAATGTGCAAATTCAACTGAAATTTTATACTTTCATATGACTAAGAAGTTACACTTTTTTAATTCTCTTTAACAATATTCCAACCATTAGCTCATTAATTCCGATTTCCTATTGCTGTCAGTGTAAGGTGCGAATAAGAAAAAGCAAGTACAGAACAACTAAAGCAGTCTAGACTGTCTTAACAGATAGTGAGGTTCCATATTGCACTGAAGTATATTCTAACTGCCTACTTACTACAAATGCTACAGCAGGATTTCTGTAGTCTGACGGAGAGTCAAATAGATGACCTCCGAACTCAATCCTATTTTTATCTAGCTAGTAAAAAAATGTAATTCAAAGAGACTGGTGTGAAAAAAAAATGATGAGATTTAGAGATGAACAAGATTTTGGCTTTTTATTGAGTCTGGGGTTTGAACTCAGGACTTTGTGCTTGCAAAGCAGGTCCTCTACCACTTCAGCGGCACCTCCAGTCCAAGTTTTTTAACATAAGATGATACCCTGAAGACAAAACAGCAATTTCATTTTCGGAAGTTACTCCTATATAAAATTTGTGTAATTCAAGCACATGGTTTGCACCAGAGATAAAGTATAAGTCTTTGCTCTTAAGAAGTTCCCATTCTCATTACGAAAAAAAAAAAGACAATTATAAAAAATATAGAAAATTTAAAATAAGTGCAGTGATTAGGTATGTGCTGAGGGCACATTTTCAAAGTAACAGAGAAGGGCACCGATTTTTATAGTGTGCAGATGAGATGATGAAGGAAGATTTACTGAATTAAAATGTACTAATTTAGTCCTGGGGTCATGGCTCAATTGACAGAGGCCTGCCTAGCAAGTAGCACAGCCAAAACACCCAGCACAGGACAAAAACAATAAAAATAATAAAGTTACTGATTTAAAAGATATACATGCGTAAGTCCTGGCCTAGGAAGCAACTTGAATAAAGGTGTAAGAGACAAACAGTATCATGCAGTGGAAGATCTACAACTGCAGAGTACAAGACTAGAATGAACTAGTGATATGACTAAGAGATGCGAAAAACAATTACAGATAGTCTTTGTAGGCTCTGCTAAGGTAAAGGCTGTAGAGAATCAATTATGGAATTTAGGTGAGAAAGTGATACATCAGATACATATTTTAGGTAGATTTAGCTAGCTATTGGAAGAAAGGATCTGAAGAGACTTATAACAGGAAACCAACTTGAAATTCACTGTAACATTAGGTATTAGTAAGAGATTAAAAGAGCCTAAAGTAGAATACTCTTAAGATTGAGTAGAGGGCACACATTCAAAAAATATTTTAGGAGATACATCATTAAAACTTGGTATTGCCATTATGGAAATAGGGAGCTCAAAGAAACTCAAAGTTATATAATCTATTTAATCTCAAAGAGGTCTACTAAGGACACTTTAAGAATTTAAGATACTTCACTGTCATAGACTCTGACTTAAGAAATTAAAAAGACACATGCATAAAATAAAGAACACAAATTTAGCTTATGCTAAATACCAGATAAGAAAGTATAAAGTTAAGAAAGTGGGAGACTGGACATGTATAAACTAAGAAAACACTACCCAGTGAAAGTGGAATTTATACTTGACACTGAGAAAACTGGATGAACCTTTAAAATATTTATAGGTATTGTTACCTGTATTTTAAAAAATAAATCTACACTGCTGTTTTTAAGTAAGGATAAAATTATATACTGCTTGAAAATCAGATGGATTTCATAATACTAGACTCACATTCTTGCACACCAACTTGGTCATCTTATAGCAAGCAAAAACTTTCCAGTTTTCTACTTCCCAAAATCTTTCCTAATACTAAGAATGAATGTGAGTTGCCATTTATCACTATTCTTAGATTGTTACTTTCTGACACAGAAGGGAAGTAAGTCTTACGTACCTTCATCTCTATCAAAGAGGAAAAATAATTAAAGATCAAGATTATTATGTTTGAGGGCTGAGTATGGTAGCTCACATTCATAATATAAACTATAAGGGAAGAAGAGATAGTAGGATCCTGGTCTGAGACTGATCCCAGGCAAAAGCATAAAACCCCTTCTGAAAAATAATTAAAGCAAAAGGGCTGGGTGGTGTAGCTCCAGTGGGAGAGTGGTTGCTTAGCAAGCATAAGGTTCTGAGTTCAAACCCCAATACTACCAAAAAACATTACTAGGTTTGGCAAAACACAGGAATATCTATACCTAATCTGCTTCATTTGCTTGCATTATCTACTAGATGCCTCCAACCACGGAGGCATTCTGATGAGAATTTGCCGCTGGTGATACAGATAGAAGGGAGACTTCGAATTAACACAATCAGCCAGGTATAATCTCACTAATGGAGTCTCGTGTATAGGTATACAGAGTAAAAAAAATGAACTCAGAAAATATTACATTTTCTACCTAAGGAATGGCAGGGAACTAAAAAAATATAACTGTAAATGGAGTATTCTGTTTATGTTCAAATGTTAGAAAACAGGAAAAGCAAATGTTTGAGGCAATCCTTTAATTCTATCCATAAATACTGACAGGATAGTTAAGGGGAAAAAAATGTATTTAAAGGCCATCAGAAGATGAATAGTATATTAAAATAGTCCAAATAAAATAGAATTGAGTTTAATGGTTAAAATCTTTTAAGGAAAACAGAAAACATAAAATCAGTCTAGAAGATTATGAAAAAATCTTGCTGAATCTTATTAGAATTTAAAGAACTATGATTGGTCTTGAAGTAAAGTTCTCAAAGAAAAATAAAAATCTTGAATCAAAAAAAATTCATCAAAGATGTGGCCACAAAAATAAGGAATACTATGAGTAATCAATAAGAAAATAAAGAAAAATGTGAGGATTTGTGACAATGACTAATATTATTAATGTAATATTTACCAGAAAGTCTTCAATTTGGTGATACAAGAGTTATATATAGGTATAGGCCACCTTTCGCCTTAAGAAAATATTTACACATCATTCTTTGAGCCAAATAAAAAAATTTGCAAGTCCAAAAAGTCTTTTAAAATATTTTCGGCCAGTTTTCCAATTAGTAGGTTTACAAACTTTTTCCCTTTAATAATTAACACAAACTCACATTTTGCCTTCATGTGGATCTTCTTCCCGGCCCTAAAGGGAAGACATTAAGACAGTATTTTATATAATTAACTATTACTCTACTTTTATTAAACTTCATTAAAAAATCGTATCTTCAAACATATGTCCACAATGCTCTTCACATTTATGTGTATAAGAGAAAAAATGTTTTTGTTCAAGAATTTCCTCTCTATATCTCTCTGTTTTGCTCCTCTCTCCTTGCTGCCATCAGTCTTATCCAGGCCCTCTTTTTACCACCCCAACCCATTAAAAAAAAATACTACTAAAGTAGCCCAGCTATACTACAATTACCTTTTTTGTCTCAACCTACTACTTCAATCTGGATTCATTAGTTTCAAATGCATCTTTGCCCTACATTAAGAAAAACCAAACCAAATAAATAAAATTTTTAAACCAAACTTTTAATACCTCTCTGCTGCCTACAAATACTTTATTCTGTAACCAAAGTCCTTTATACCAAAGTACTCAAGTCTACATTTCCTGTCTCATACTACCAATTCTCTAGGTACCTATGCCATGGACAAACATTTGCTAATCTACATCATCACCACTGTAGATTATTTTTTATTTTTGTTGTTATTAGAATGTCCTTTTTACTCACTGCTACCTACCTATTGCATAAAATCTAAACTATCTGGGTAGGATCTACTTCAAAAACTACCCTCCTAAGTAAAGCATTTTGAGCCCCTAAAACATAAATGTCAACAGAAGACATCCTTCTTTTATTATCTTCTGAACTTTACCTTACTCTATTCTACATTCCAGTTTTTTTAAATACACTAGTGTTGTTCATTCCACAATAGTGGCTATCTTAAGGTATAAGCTATTCTTAATATTAACACCTGCCACCACTACCACTATAAGCCCCACCTCAAAGCTACGTACATAACTGTCACTGTGTATCTGTTGAACTATACTCCTAGTAACTAACACAGTATGTAGCCCTGAGTTTTCAATAAATAAATACAAAAGAATAGAAAAATAATCTTGGATCTCATTCATCAAATATTTGACTAAAATACTTGACTAAAACATTCCCTAAATGCTGCTATTTACATGGCAGTATGCTAAAAGAAATAAGTGTGCAAATGAATAGCATTATCATTGCCCTCCTGTACAACAGGTTTATACAATAAATTAATTTTATACAGTATAACTGAAATGTAGACCCAACAAAGTGCTATAGAAACACAGGAAGAAACAAATTAGCCTAAGAGAATCTAGAAAGGCTTATATAAAATATCTATAAAAGAAAGGGTGACATCTGAACCGAGCTGATAAAGATGAATCAAACTTTACAAGGTAATCTTAACAAGACAGGAGTGTCAAAGAAGGGGGAAAAGTACAGACTTAGAGACATTTATCTACACAATGTTCCTCACGTTTTTGTGTATATGAGAAAAGATGTTTCTTTTCAAGAATTTCCTCTCCATAACTCTGCTTTACTCTTCTCTCCTAATTGTCATTGCTCTAATTCAGGTTCTTTCCCCATTTTCCAACTATTAAAGTAGTCAAATAATATTTACTGAATGCCTGCTGATGCCAGACACTAGTCTAGGCAATGGGGATACAACAAAAACTCCTAACTTCACAGAAGTACATTGTACAATTAAGACTAAAAGTATAAACATGCTTGGAGAACACTAGTTATTTTAGAGAAGGAAATTTCTTAAACCCAACTACTAAACAAATGCCTGAAACATCTTCACAATCTACATAATGTCCAAATGGCTTTTCAATCCTAAAGGAATTCACCAACTTCCAATGAAGACCATTACCATAAATTATTTTAAACATTTATGCCTAACTTGCAATTACTCTACTATTAATCTGTAGTATGACTATATTCATTTTTAACAGCCACATCATACTGTTCACTTAAACTATGTTGTTAACTTTTATTTTTCATGTTTCGTATCTATATTAGGTAATGCGCCCTTATACTGGACTGGGCTATTATTTATCATTTTCCTGCAGACAATGGGTAACTTTCGCTTATCCTTATAACGTTTATTTTATTAAAGTTGATCCAGAATTTCAAGAGTCCAAGAAAAGTTTGTACTTTTAATTCCTTTAAATAATCAGGATAGGAAAGAAGGTAGTATAGCTTGGAGAAGGAAACCAAACAGAAAAATTCTAATGAACTTTTGTAAGAAAACCAAAACAGACAGTAAGATGTTTCAGTTTGAGCACTCTGAGCACTTTTTATCTATAAAGAATAAATCTCTCCCTTCTACAGAATACACAATAGTATTCTAAGCATTAGAAGTTCTAATCCCAGCTCTTTGGCAAAGTAAATTTGTAAGTACAAGTTTAGAACGTATCATGACATTTCCTCCACTACTGCTACCTTTGCCCAGTTTGCTTTACTTCTGTGAATCAAGATCTGGTGGTCAGAATAGGTAGACAAGAGAAATAGCAAAAAAAAGCATGCTCTACTGCCATCTTTCTGGAGAAATAATCAAAGCACCAGTTTCAACATATTACTTAGGACTGTGGCATAATTAAAAACAGGAGCTTTGAAGATTATGCAAGATAACAGAAAGCCATTCTGTTCTGCTAAACAAATCTGAAAGGGAAGACTGAATTCCAAAATTAATATAATATAATGTTTAATGTATCTCTGAGATATTGAGCACTGTCTCCAGAGCACAAATACTGCTTGAATGCTGACCTGCTATCAAAAAAGGAACACGTGATAATTTACACTGTGTCCTAAGATGAACAATAATGCATTATGTGATGGCAAAGAAAAATAGAGAACTATTCAAAATGTATGGCCATGGGATAATATATTTGCAATATAACTGAATTTTTCCAAGGTTACTGGAAAACAATAGATGGGTGGAAAATAAGAATGTGAAAACAAAAAATGTACAACCATTTGAGATTCTATTATTAGTCTGACATAATTTCATCTTTCAGAAAGATTGAGAAAACAAAACAATGATCAAAACAAGAACAAATGCTAAGACATTTTTTATTTCACATGAAACATCATGAAAACTTTCTGAAAATTGGTAGCTACACCTTACATGATAGCTCATTTATTTTCATTAGAAATAAATATTTACTAACAATAAATACATTTTAACAAAAAATTCACTATACTTATGAATTAAAGTCTTTTAAAAGAAATTTACTCATAGTTATTACCCAAGTATGGACAAAGTGCCAAAGTTTTACAAAGTACTTGGAATCTGAAATTCAAAAAGAGTAAAACTTACCACCTCTTCTACCAGGTCTTCAACAATAAGTCCTTGCTCATCTGTTCTGAGATTTGTAACCCACATCCATCCATCTTCTAATTCATTATGAACAATGAACATATCTCCTTTTAAGAAACTAAAGTAGCAAATATGAAGTTTTTTATTAAAAAACTTAAACATGGAAATTTGAGTAGTCATATACCACAACACAGAAAAATGCAAAGGATTAGTCAAAAGCCTAGATTTTTGTCCTGTTTATATCATTAACTATGAGGCTGAAGATTCTTCAGAACCTGAATCTGAAATTTCTTTATGTGTAATATGGGCTTGATAAGCTCACCATCACTACCTAATTACTGGATTATTAGCAGATTCAAATTAGAATTTTTATAAACAGTAAGTAAATACATATGTATTACAGGTTTTGGATTTTAAGTTTCAAAGCTATTACTCTTTCATATTTGGGTTAGATAGGAAATGAAAAGCAAAATAAATTTAAGTGATAACTATTTATTTGTGACAGGATCCCCCTGTATATTCCAGGCTGGCCTCAAACTCGCCATACAGCCTAGACTGGCCTTAAGTCATGTTCTTCCTGCTTCAGTGGCAGGAAGAAGCATTTTAATAGCCTTTTCAGATAATTAGATATTTAATGATATTATGCCAAAAACTCCAAAATGGACACCCTCTTGAAGATTAGTTGTAATACTAATCTAAAACTATGTGTCAAGGAACTTGCTATATGTTCTTTAATAACATCCACTAGTCTGCTTCTGTCTGGATCTTTTGCTTATTCACAATTTTGTAACATCATGCATTGATCATTTAGAAAATACTGGTACACTTGAGCTATGCATATGCGTATATTCTAGTTGTTCACACATTATTCACTCTCAATACATTTTCGTCTCTGACAATTTTGGAAACCTTGAATTGACCATCAGAAAAGTAAGATTGTGAGGTTGTCAAATTCCTGATGGTCAATTCAAGGTTTCCAAAATTGTCAGTTTTTTGTTCAAAAACTCAAATTTTGACATTGCAACAAATTCTGTCAGTACTTTTCTTGAAGTAACAGCTTTACTTCGTTACTTTTGAAGTAAAAGTGAAACACTCAAGTGTAAGCAATGATAGTGTACTTATCATTCCGTAAAAATTACTAGGCACAAGTAAATTGGTAAGCACTAAAGCAGCTATTAGTTTCTCTCAACTCACTGCTTTTTCTCAAGTCAGGATACTTTAGTACACAGCAGAAGTGGGGTCTTTGTTGTTATCATTGCTGTTTTGAAGCAGGATCTCACTATGTAGTGAAGGCTGGCCTCTAACCCCAAAATCATCCTTCACCAGTGCTGGAATTCCAGGCATGCACAACGCCAGCAAAGCCTCTATAGAAGTGTTTTATCTTCCCATTTATTATAAAGAATACCAGAAAGATGTGTACAAATAACTTCACTGCCTCATCAAGGACATTCGGTGAAATTATTTTTGATAAAATGCAATGTCTGTAAATGAAAAATACTGTACACTTCAATTCCACTACCTTAATTTGTAAGGGACCAGCACTTTTACCATCCAAAGCTTTTGCATTATCATTATAAAGTCACAGTGAAAAAGGCAAATGTCTTAAAATAATTATGAAAGTAATTTTGATCTCATGGATTGTGGTGGCTACTTTTATGTATCAAGTTGACTGGGCTACAGGGTACCCAGATTAAACACTGTTTCTTGTTCTGTAAGGGTGTTTCTGGATGAAATTAACATTTCAATCAGTGAAATATAGGTATACTACCCTAGAGTATACTACAGTCTCCAAAGTGGGTGGATCATATCCAATCCACTGAGTGTCTAAATAGAAAAAAAAGGGGGAGGTAGGAGGAATAGACACACACACTCCCCCAACTGAGTGATCTGCACCATTCCCTCTCATCTTTTCCTGTCCTCAGACTGGAAGTTCCACTGACTTACATGGTTTCAGGCCTCTGAACTTGAACTAAATTATACCACTAGCTGTCCTGTGTCTGCAACTTGCAGATGAAAGACCACAGAATGTAAGAGCCTCCATAATTTTGTGAACCAATCTCCAATAATAAATCTTATTCTCTGGAGAGCCATAACAATCTCAAGGACCACTGCAGTTACATGGAATACACTTTGAGAACAATTGTTATGGATAACCACACTGGGGATTTACAAATTATCTAAAACTCCTAACAGTAGTTTCCTTCATTAAATGCATTTCTTCCTTTCTCTTTTTTTTTACTGGCCCTCCTAGCTTACATGACTAATATTTATATTTAGTCAGTAAGATAAGACGAGGGGCCAGAGATCAGGAGGACCAAGATTTAAGGTCAGTCCAGGCTAAAATAAATGAGACCCTGATCTCAAGCAAGAATCCAGATATGATAGTCATGCCTATAATCTCAGCTACACAGGAGGTCCAGGTAAAAGGATCGTGGTCCATGCCCTGCCTCAGGCAAAATGTGAGACTCTGTGTGAAAAACAACTGCAGCAATAAAGGGCTTAGCAGTGTGGTTCAAGTGGTAGAGGCCCACCAAGCAAGTACTAGGTTCTGAGTTCAAACCCCCCCGTACCACCCAAAAAAAAAAAAAGAAAAGAAATAAAAGTCATTATTTAGAAGACAACCATATAAAAATGGAATTGTACTGAGATTCAGATTACTGAATCTTTTTTTGTAATACTGTATTTCCAGAAATTTCTAGTGCCACAAAAATGTTTTCACTATATTTTAAAATGCACCTCACTCCTTTTAGAATAGCTAGCATCAAAAACACCACCAACAACAAATGTTGGCGAGGATGCAGGGAAAAAGGAACCCTCATACACTGCTGGTGGGAATGTAAGCTAGTACAACCCTTTGGAAAACAATATAGAGGCTTCTTAAAAAACTAAACATAGATCTGCCATATGATCCAGCAATACCACTCGTAGGGATATACCCAAAGGAATGCGACTCAGGTTATTACAAAGGCACCTGCACACCCATATTTACTGCAGTGCTATTCACAATAGCCAAGTTATGGAAACAGCCAAGATGCCCCACTACTGACGAATGGATTAAGGAAATGTGGTATTTATACACAATGGAATTTTACTCAACCCACAAAGAATGAAATTTTGTCATTCACAAGTAAATGGATGGAACTGGAGCACATCATCTTAAGTGAAGTTAGCCAGGCTCAGAAGGCCAAAAATCATATGTTCTCCTTCATATGCAGACATTAGACCTAAAACAACTGGAGTAATATTACTTGACATGGGTCACACACTAAGGGGAGAACACATACAGGAGGAATAGGGAAAGGGAAGGAAACATAAAACTTGAATGTGGCTGATGTGTCCACTGTAGAGGAGCTAATAAAGTAATCTTAAACTGACAAAGGCCACTATAGAAGGTGACTGGGAAGTAATGAAGAGGTCTGGTAAAGGTGAACCAATGTGGGTTGTAATACACATGTGCATGGAAGCAATGCTAGGAATCTCTCTGTATAGGATCTTTATCTCAAGCTAGCAAAAATGCCATTTCTTTCTTATTATTGCTTATGTCTTCTCTTCAACAAAACTGGAAAAGAGGGCAGAACAGGTTCTGCCTGGAAGCAAGGGGAGGGAGGGAGGGAGGGCCAGGGTGGAGAGATGACCCAAACAATGTATATACATATGAAGAAATGAATAAATAAAAAAGTAAATAAAATGCAACTATTGATTTCAAAGAGAAACTATATTATCAGTAATTATTCAGAAATAGCTTTAACATTTTAAAGAAATGAACTTTCTATTGAATAATTTGATTATCAAATTACATAATCAATTGAATTATACAGAAATTATAAAAGTGAAAACTATCATGTAATATATTCTGAATATTCTTAAAATTGAAAATTACCCATACATTTTGTAAAACAGAAGCTTAATTATCATCTCAATAGAATTTATAGCTAGGACATAAATATCATGGGGTAATAAAAATTTTTAAAAGGATAAATTATAATAAGAAGATTCTCCTTACTTTGTCAGAGATATGATGATAAAATCTAAGTTACTCCTCTTGTCATTTTCACTGTGCTCACCCTGATCCAAATCCCAAGCTAGAAATGGAAAGTCATCCCAAGGGTGTGGAATAATATTAAAGGCCCTTTACATTGCTACAGGCTATTCCTCATATCCCCACAGCTTCCTACTTCAAGAGCAATAAATTTCAATGTCTAGCTCTTTCACAGGCCTATTTCAAATGCCTATGTTTGAGAAATATTATAAAATACCTTATTTCATCTGTGTCTGGTACTTTTGTATAAGGCAGAATGGCTCGGACACGCCTTCTATCTTCTACTGGCTAGAAAGCATTAAAAAAACAATTTACAAAACATACTCCTTGTCTCAAAGTAAAAGAGTTATGTCCAAAGTTAAAGCCAATAAAAATCCACATTATAAATAAATTCCATAGGATCATTCAAATAAACCTTATCTAAAGCTTAGAAATGCTTCTTGCTTCTATTCTGATGTTTTTACAAAATATCTTTTTAAAGTATAACAAAACTTTTATTCTGGTAATATGAATGATCATTTTATTTTAAATAAATTACATGGGACGTATCTCCAGTAATTTCATAATTAGCACTATGAAATCAGCAGTCACTCCTTATGCATTCAAAAATGTTAGGCTGTGAACATACAAAATTATTCCAAAAATGTTTAAATTTTAGTTTCTTAAATATAAAATTACAAAGAATACTTTTTTAAAAAGTTGGTTTTGTTCTGCATTACAGCCAGAAATAAAATTTAATACAAATATAAATATAATCTTTAATTATAATAAACATCCTGAGAGACTGAACAAGATCAAAATCCATTATTAAAGTGAAAATAATAAAGCCTTGTAAGATATTTCCTTCAAGTTTTACTTGCCTCTGGTGGTGCAACTGGATAAAGTAATTTTTCTCCTTTAAGCAAACAAGAAACATGACTGTAATAACCTATTAGGTCTGACAGTGACGAAAAACGTCTTCCACCAATGTAGTAATCTCCACACATAGCAATAATCCTATTTGGAAAAAAAAAAAAAATCTTTATAGCCATTACTTTTCTTTTTTTTTTTTTCTCTGTAGTGCTGAGTTGAACCCAGATCCTTATATATGCTAGCAAGCACTCTATCTCTGAGCTACATCCCCAGCCCCTAAAGCCAATTTTCAAAACGAAGTTTCAGAAAGAAATTATAAATGCAAATTTCCATACTTTTTATTTTAAACATATCCCTGTATTAGAAGGGAAAAAACGCCACTTATTGGCTGGTGCCAGTGGCTCATGTCTGTAATCCTAGCTACTTAGCAGACCGAGATCGGGAGGGTTTGAGGTTAGTCCAGACAACTAGTTCGTGAGACCCCACCTCAACCAATAGCTGGGCACAGTGGGGCACACCTGTCATCCCAAGCTAGGTGGGAGGCCGAGATCTCGAAGATCACAATACCAGGCTAGCCCAGGCAAAGAGTAAAACCCTATCACCAAAACTTACCAGAATAAAAGAGGTAGAGGCATGGTTCAAGTGATAAAGAGAGTCTGCCTAGCAAGCAGGAAGCCCTTAGTTCAATTCCAGTCTGCCCCCCCCAAATAAAACATTTATTAATATCTTCATCATAGGCAAATTATCTGGGGTTGTATATGCATTTGATATGAATCACATCATTGATTTATAAACCTCAATTACTTGAAAATTCATCCTCAGATACATTTCCTTCACATTCCATATTTAAGATTTTCTTTTTTTTTTTTTTCTCGAGGTACTGGATTTTGAACTCAGGGTCCTATGCTTATTAGGCAAACACTCAACTACTTGAGTCAAACCTCCAGCACTCCATATTTAAGGTTAAATTAGCAATTTTAGTAATTTTCCCTCTGGCTAAAAGTAACTCACAAACTTGTAATTATATGAAGTATAATAATAATTTCACATAAAATTATTAAATGATATTGTGAAATTATATGAAGGTACACGTTATATAAGTTTACCTTATTCTGTAAAGAGAATAAGGTGCTCTTAAAGTTTATGTAATATATAAAAAGCAAAGGATCAAGAATGTCTTATCAGTTAACATTCAATTTCTCCCATATAAAGAAAACTGAATGTGGTATTATATGTTAACAAATTTTTATATATCATCTATAGAGCTGAAAAGAATGTGAACAAAGAGTTTCAGGATAGTGAAGCAAAATGAACTAAAGGTTCAAGTCCTGATTTTTAAAGTGTTTCCTTTATCTTCTGTTACTCAGTCCAAGTCAATATTTCTTTCATTTCAACTTTAAACTATTTTCAAAGTTTATTTACAATTCTTTATACTTTAAAAAGTGATAAATATATTTGGGAATTAGCAAAATAAAGGCCAATGGTAATGTTTTTAACCAAAAAAATTGAAATATTTCAACAGCATCTAGCTCTACATCACTGATTAATCCACTTAAATGAAAACAAGTTTCTTTCTCTAGTATTTAGTCATTGAGTCATTTGCTTTTGTGAAAGCAGATATATTAGTGAATACTGCATCAGAACAGAGACAAAGACTTACCTAAAATGGTTGACAACATTCGTCTGGCTAAGAAATGAAAGTACAAAGGAGCCCGGCCTCCGATCACTCTCTCTTATAAGGTAGCTTCCTGACTTCCCCGCTTGCCTAAGGCGTTCTTCTGCTATAGTTCTATCAAGTTTTCCATGATACCACCTAGGGGAAAAAAGATAAAACATTAAAGTAAAAATAGCAACCATAAATGTACTATGCTAATTGAAAAATGTAACACTAGAAGTTTTAAATATCTACATGTAACTTAAAACATTCTTTATTATTCTGAATCAATTAAAATTGTAACTAGTCCTTTCAGTTTCTCAAAATATTCCTCTATTCAGTTTTTAACTTGTTCTATAAATTCAAGTCCAGTCATCTCATTTATGAACGTCTATTTTTCCCTCTATCCCTAGTTCCAGGATTATTTTATCTGCTAAAAATATAAACATTTACTGCAATCAAATCCTTACTTAGAAAAATAAGATGAAGAAATGGATAATTAATGTACCACAACTCTTTTTCTTAAGGAACCAACAGCTAACATAACAAAACACATGTAGCCTATAAGAAAATAAAGCATTTTATCTCATTTTAGTGTTTGTGCCCTGGACAGCAAAGCAGAATGAAGGTGTCTAAAAGGCTGTTCCAACATGAAGCTGATTATTCTCTTTGATTTCTACTCCACGACTATGTATACACTGTAACTCATTTACAAGTTTATTGAACCAACATATGGGGAATAAACAGCAAGTATCTTTGTCCCTCTCAAATAATCTGCTTAAATGATGGACTATAACTCTAGCATCATCAATGCTTTCAATTTAAGCCTGTAAGGTCCTCATGGATTGATCTACATAGGGACACACTTGTAAATAAGCTATAGTAAGTAAAAATACTTTTACATTTTTGTTATTTTAGCCAAACTTATTCTTAGATATTGCTGCTCAACTTGAAATATTCAGGAAAAAAATTTTAAGTATTATAAACTGACAGTAAAGCTATTATACTATGACTTATTTTTGTAAGCTTATTATTAAAATTAAAGCTTATTATTCTTAACTTCTTAGTTTATTATGAAAAATAAAAACACAAAAACTTAAACCTTCTCAGAAAAATTCTTTTATTAGGTTTTCTTTCTAAAAAACAGCCTATTTAGAGGTTTGTGCATAAGACTGAAAATAATTTTAAAATCACAGTTTCGTTGTAACTTGATAAAACATAACTGTAAACTTAGTATCAGAATAATCAGTATTACATTCCTCTAACATCCTACTCTTATATTTACAAGTAAATTTAATTTTCAAGAGCTCAGGGGTTTTGGGCTGTTCCTTTTGTTCCTTGGGAATAGGGTCTCATTATGTAGCTCCGACCGACATATATAACATTCTGTGTTATGTAGCACAGAATGGCCTCAATCTCACAAATCTGCCTCACACTCCCAAATGCTGGCACTGCAGGTAGGATTACAGGTATGAGCCACCACACCCAGCTAAAAGCTCAGTGTGACTTTATTGCCTAAAGCAGTTTTAATACATTTTAATTCCTACAAGTCTCTGGCCTTCCTGGAAAAAATTAAAGTCCTTAAAATTCAGAATTTATTGTATGATCTTTATTGTTTACTTCAAATTATCGTGGTGAATCAAAGTAACAAGAATATTTTAAACATTTCTGCCCACTTGAAAGCATTTTTAAGACAGAAAATGTTAGCATCTTAAACTGATACAACATGCAATCTTACTTACAAAATCAGAAATCAGAAAAATAATTAGCATTACACTAGATAAAAATTACTTATTTCTCAGGATTCAAGGTAACAGATTACATGCAACCAGTTCTCCCTGTTTCTCCATAAGAAACCAAAACAGTAGGTGGGGCAATTCATAAGAAAGTGCTATAGTGCAACAGAAGAATGTCAGTGACCAGGTAATACTCAGAAATAATAGATTATTAGACTACTAAGAGAAGGGGAAATAGAGAAGTTCCCCTCAACAGAGGTTTAGGCAAAGAATCCACAGAATCCAGCATCTTGCAACACATACTCAAAACAGACAGAAATCTGGGATCTGCTTAGAGAGCTGGCAATGAAGATGATCTCAGTTTTCCTACAGTATTCATATGGTGCTCTAATTGGGAGCCATTGTAAAAAGGACTTTATTGTATGAGTTTACTGCTCTAGGGATCAAAAAACCCTGCATTTCTCGATGTGTATATATTCTTTAGAGAGATAGCAAGAATGGTATGTATTTTAGTTACTATGATTTAAATTTGCCTAATACAATACTTTAAGAAATAGTAATGTTCTCTTATTTTAAAAAGAGAATTTGAAAACTTCTTTTTCTGTGTCTCTTTCAGAAACATGGGGAGAAGAAGGAAAGTTGGAGAAGCCAATGCATTCCTTCTCAGCTAGTTTTACATCTTCACGTGGAGAAATCTTATCATCAGAGAAGAAACCCCTTTATTTCATTTCCTTAGAAACACAAGGCAATTTATCCAAAATATCCTAGCATCCAAGATAAAACTACACATTAAGTAAGTCAACAAAAAAGAAACAATTGGATAATTTAAAAGAATTGTTCTATTTTTAAATTTGGAAATCACATTAGCTTTTTTTTTTTTATAAGTATTTGTTGCATTACTGAAATACATCTGAGGGGCCTTAGAGGAGCCTTTAGCACTTTTTAGTAGGTCTGATCTGATCAGAAATATAGCAATCAATGCAAAGAGAAAACAGCCTGATATTAATATAAACAGATACTTCATTCAATGATTTTTAACTAATGTCACCATTCTAAGTAGATCTATTATAGAAAAGCAATTAAAATAGTGCTAACATGAACAGACTTCCTTTTACTAAAAAGGAAACTAAACCCAAGTTCCCAGATCACTTTTATTATCTACTCTGTTCTTTCAATTACGTCACTGATACAGAGAAACATACATGCAGAAATCTATTTGCCAGGAATTCTCTTGTCACCTCCATCTCTTGGTTATGTGCCTGATCATACTACCTTAAAAGTTCTTCTGAACCTTCAAAATGCTAGTCAGATTCTTACATATGCCTGTTTCTTCTGAAATTAAAAAGGTTACTTCAGACTGCTGTATAAAGTACATATTTGCCATAACTATAAATCTAGTAAAGCTTCCATATTTCCTTTATAAAAACACACAGTTCCTGTAGTCTTACAGATTGAGCTTAAGGGTGAGAAAAATAAACTTCTTTCTTTGACAATAGTAGAGTTTGAACTCAGGGCCTTGCGCTTGCTAGACAGGAACTCCACTGCTTGATATATATACCCTGAGCACTTTTTTTGCTTCATTTTTCAGAGAGGGTCTCATAGTTTTGTTCAGGGCTGCCCTCAAACCACAATCCTCCCAACCTCTGCCTCCTGAGTACTTGGGATGGCAGGCATATGACAGTACATGCAGTCCCAAAACTGATTTTTTAAAGTGAAATAAAAACAATTCACCTCATACAAATGAGGTTTGTTTTTTTTTTTTTAATGTCACTATGTGCCAAGACTCAAATTCGGTCACTGGTAAATTCACTTAACAACCACTAAGCTAAGCAAAATTGGTGCAGTAAGTATGCCTTAGACCCAACTACATGTATCACTTAAAGGTGAGAAGAAATATCTGTACATTTATGTAAGATATTCTATGTTCAAGCAGACATCAAGAGTATGTGTATATACAAACACAAATGCATGTATGTATTTACATGTTTGGGATTAAATTAGTTAAAAGTAAAAGCAGAAATACATTTACATTTTGAAACAGATAACATATTTACATAGTCCAAAATGAGGTTTTAAGTTTGGAAGGAGTATTTCTAAAGAAATGGCACTACCAATGTTCTATCCACCCAAAATTAAGACAGCTAAAAGACTAATATGAAAGATTAGAATACAATGCCTACATAGAGAAAAAGTTTATATTCAAATGTACTCAACAAAAATTGTATTGTTTTCACCACCTTTAACTCCAATCACCACAGAAAATCGACGATGAAAGTCATACCTCTCCAAAAATATTGTATAATAGTCAGACATAGAAATAAAGAGAAAAACAGAGATAGACATAGTAGAATACTTACCAACAGAGGCTAACATTAGTTCCTACATCACATTTTTTATCTCTTGTATCTATACATTCTGAATCCTCAAAAAATTGCTGAAACTTAAAATTGAGTTTTTCTTAGACTTTTACAGCATCAAACCGGTCGGATGCATGAAAGCAGGGCAAGGAAAATAACTGTGGCTATCTGGTCCAATGCATGGTTGCAACATTACTATAAAGTACCTTAAAGCAATCCTGTACTTAAAAATTTTTGTTTTTATAGCACCAGCACATGGAGTTTATGATCCAGTGGAGAATACAAACAAAACAAGCAACTGCAATCTGGTATAATAAGTAATAGGATATAAGGACACAAAAGCACCTGACTTCCTTTGAAGATTTTAGCAACTATTTCCCTGAGCAGGGGGTGAGAGGAAGACCTGAGGTCTAAACTAAAAAAGCAAGGGACTGAGAAGGAAGGTGAGAAAAATAGAACAAGGGAGAAAAGCACAGGCCAAAACAAGTTTATCAATAAATGAACATAAGAATACCTGAGACATTCAAAATATACTTTAGAAATCTAATTATGACAAAACGAATTAGAAAGAATATAAACTTTCAAATTAGATTTAACTTTTAATCTTGGAGAATTTCTTTCAGTTCCTCAACTTTGTCTCAAAGAACATTTTAAAAGTTTAAAATATTTTCACATCTATCTTCTCTCATCTGGCCTCAGTAGTAGCCCTCTTATGGATATGAGGAATGGGCATTATCTACTCCAACACTCAAAGTTCTCCACAATATATCCATTATTCTCCCATAAGTACCCAAGTTATAATTATTCATTAAAGAATTTTTTATTGTTGTGCTGGGTAGGGGTACATTGTGGCATTTACAAAGGTTCTTACAATGTATCAAATATATCATACTCTCCTTCATCCCCTCTCTCTAGATTCCTGGAACAGTTTCAGCAAGTATCATTTTTGTATTTACTTACAAGTGTACACATTATGTGTACCATATTCATCCTCCTCCCCCTTTCCCCACCACCTCTCCCTCCCACTAGTGCCCCCCACCCCGACCAGAACCTGTTCTGCCCTCCT